TAGCTGATGAGTATGTCGTGTTTACAGAACCTGGAATTTGCGTCCGTGCATGATTCTTATTCGATGCACGCTACCAGCATCGAGAATTTGTCCTACATCATCCCAGACACCTTCATCGTGCTACATTTCCCGGACGTCCTTGAGAAAGTAGTTATCCAGGTATATATCACTCATGCTAGACCGCACAACTCAATCCTTTGCCGCAGTTCCGGACCCAACGGTCATCAGACAAGTTTCTCACATCGTTCGACAGTGGTCAGCTGCTGAAGAACATCTGAACTACAGCCTACGTGTTGTCTGAACAGACAACTGCGCTCCGTGGAGGTGAGTTTATGTCCTTTGACAAACTCATTCATGTCTCAGATGTAGAAGCCCCATCCATCGCCCGGACTTCCCAGGAATCGAAGGCTGAGACTGCAAAGCCTACGCTAGGGAAGCTTGGACGACCTATTCAGAACTGACGATCTCGAAGGGAAGAATGACGCGGAGTGTGAGGAAGGAGGCAGACGGCGCAACACTGATTCGCTTCCGCTGGAAAAAATTGTTGATTTCAGCCCTATTGTTTATACCTCTGCCAAAAAGGACCATTGTGATATGGAGACGAATTTGTTACCCCGTCTTTGTCTTTCTGTGGATATCGATGAAAGGACGTTACTAGGGCAGCCGAGCGCAGAACCTCGCCAGTGACAGTGTCTAGTTTTGACTCCGTGGAATAGCCGTCGACATTTACATGCTGGTCTCCCCAATATTTGCATCTCATCCCCCGTCGTCGCTCAGCGCTCACAAATGACATGTGTCCACCAAGTTAGAAATGACTAATGCATTGATTTCGTTGAGGTGTATATTTCCCGCTCCCGTACATACACTGCCCCACAACTTCCTCTATTCCAGGACTCTAACAACACGCAAGCATCGTCATGATTAGGGGACTAATAATTATTGATCTAAGCTCTCCAGCATGTTGCTGGTTGCATTTCTCACTTCCTTCACAGCAATGATAATCCCCTCTCCCTGCTCTAAACTGGGCATATCCGGTGTCATCTCCAGTCCCGACTCCAGCCGCATCTTCTGCAGTTGCATGCTCCGCTCCAGACTTTTGAGAAAGACATCCACACTTCTGATAAGCTGCTCGAGATCAGATTTCGAAGCAATCTGCATATGCTTCTTTGTGCCATCCACAAGGAGAAGGAGCTTGGAATAGCGTGCATTGTCAATGTTATATGGAGGATGATTCCACGCGCTTCTCATCACGTCCCACCACTGCTGTTCCGTAACAGAATCGAGAGATGTGATCGATGTCTGTTCAGGTATGATTTGGACGAGGATACCAGCTATGTAAAAGGCATGCTGCGTGGGCGATTCGGAATTGCAGTACCTTGGAATCATGCTGATGCACCAATCAATATGGCGATCCACAGACAAACGGGAGTGCCAGTCGGAATTTCTCGCGAGGGCACAGACCAGTTCGACATAGCACAAGTCGCGGAAATAATTGAAAAAGAGGTTGAGATCATCATTGGCGAGTGTTATACATGGGTGCGGACAAAGCATGGACAGAATAGCGGGGGGGAGCTTGGTCAAAACTATGTCCAGTAGCGTCGCATCATCAATAGCATCAATCGAGGCGATTTGTTCTCGCGCACTGTGAGCAGCGCGAAGAGCGGCGTGGCGTAAATGGAGAGGCATGTTACTGTCCATACAGGCGATAAGCCTCTCGAAAAACAGATGTTGTTTAGCAGGGCTACAACACACTCCCATACTACCCAGTAGTAAAAGAATGTCATATGCCGCTTCGTGGTCGTCGGAATATATGAAGTCGAAGTAGTCCACCATCCAGTCGAAATCTTCTGGCAAGTGGGATTCATTTCCCCACCAAGACAGACCCCACACTCGGGCAGGGTCCCGAGATACTTCTGCAGCGGCAATTGTGAAGCGCAGTGCATTTCGCAGAACTGCCAAAGAAAGTGAGGCATTGTTTTGTTCGGATGACCTCGCTCGTGAATAAATCTTCCTGCACACGTCCAGGTTCCGCATGGTGTGGGATGAAGGAATAAATGAATTTTCAGCAAGTTCGAGGATACGACAGATAATGTCGAGGAGGTTCAATACCCGGCGTGCGACTCCTGTACTATCTTCGTCGAGCTCGCCTCCATCCCATGCCCAGAGAGCCTTTTCGAACTGCGCCGAAAGAGACTTCCTGAGTCGAGGCAGAGCAGAACTACACGACCTCTTTGTTAATCATGGCAGAAAAAATACCGAATGAGTCGATGGCACCTTTTATCAATCCGAACTATGTCTTTCTTGTCAACCTGAGCCCCGACCATGACGCAAGCAAGAAGGATGCAATTGGCTACGATTTGATTCGATGGAGAGGATGGGGATGATAGCAATTTTGACATCACTTGTATCGCGAGGTTTTCTATGTCTTCATTCACTCGCCCAGTAACAAAGTGATAAGGAAGAACATGTGACAGCCACTCAGGGACGGAGTCAGGGCAATCCTCTGACCAAAAAATATGCCACGGATTGCCATCTGGTTGAGAAAAGTTCATAGTCGTACTAGACACCATCCGGTCCACTTTGCGCATCCCCGGGAAAATTTCAAGAAGCACGTGGAAGTCCGGTCTCCCGCGGACAAGCAAATTACCACGGCCAGGATATGCCTGAAGAACACATCCATAGTATAGATGAATAAGAGCCATTGCACATGCCGTGGCCTTCTCCTCTAACGATGGTATGATGCGTTCTTGAATGTCGACGCAGCTCGTAAGAATATCAAACAGCTGATGCAGCGTGTCTGAGACATCAAGATCCAAAGACCATTCGACTTGCGGGACATGACTGGCAGCAGCCAGAAATACTTCAGGATCCGTAGATGTCTCGAGTAGCCACTTGACGCTATGCGCTTCGAGGTCGCTGGTTGAGATGTCAGGGAGGTCGAGGGTCAGGATGTCATTATTCTCCACCGAAACATCCGGATCCTGGTCGAGCGGTTGTGCCTCTGAGTCCACAACCTTTGTGGAAGAACTCGGAACCAAAGAACGCAGCCGGTTATGAAGCCTGGTGATGAACTGACGAAGAGATCGTTGTATGAATATACCTATCGCAAGTACAGGGCCTAGGGAGCGAATGAGCACTGAGTGTATCTTTGTAATAGCTGTGACGATTGTCACCTCTAGATACTTCAGACAGTCGGGTCCATCCCGATCTGACAATAATGAACGATCGTTTGAGCACACCTGACATGAAATGGTCAAGATCTGTGGACATGGAAGAAGACATAAGTCACCATGCAGTAACATCATGGGCCACTGGAAATAACAGGAAACTCGTTTGAATACCAGGTGCAGAGCCCCTGTAATGTTGATTCAGATGGGAACGACTACCAGAATTCGGCGAAATGATCTTACTGTCAATGCGTAACACCCGTAATATCGTCGATATCGGTGTCTGAAATGGACAAGCAGGAGATATCAAACATGCCATCACAGTCAGGGAATAAAACAGAAATCCGAAGACCGTCGTTCCGATAATGACCCAGGCGATGCTCGCCCGCTCGTACCACAAATTGGCGCCGAGAGCGACCCCAAAGAGAAGAAGAGAGATCTGAAGTAAGACCGGAAAGGATTGTACGACAGCATCGAAATACCATGTGACAAGGCCGTTGAACTTCTCTTGCCTGCGCTTCCCTCGCTCTTCCTGCGAGCCGCGGCCATACCTGTTCGACTTGTAGTACCCGAGCCACTGCTTTCCCAGCACGGCCCCGAATGCAGCGAGCAAGCTCATGGAAAGACTCGCATATGCGATCATTTGAATCCATAAGGTCGGCGCAGTCAGAGACCACGTAGATGCTGGGTCTACGGGAGCGGAGCCTGCCTCAGCGAGGTTGCCGAGTCCGATCTGCACGAGTTGCTTCAAAAGGGCATTCGTGGTGTCACTAGGGTCGGGACTGAGGTTGGACTCCATCGCGACAATGAAAGACGTGCTGACAGCGGAGAAAAGACCAGACTGGTCGAACATCAGTCTCGAAACAGAATACCGATAAGCGCGCTGAACTTACGAAGATCAAGACAATGTCCATGTCGGTAATGTATCGCTCGAGGAATTCGCTGTCGTGTTCCTCTGCGACTCTTTTGTACACCCCCCAGAAACGAGACCGTTTGTCCTTTCCACTCTTCGATGCAATCGTCGAGTCCTGGAGAACATCCAATACCTGCTTCATGACATTTGCCCTGCGTGTAGGGCGTGGTCAGCTGGGATTGCTTGGCTTCAAGTTTTTGACTCACAATTCGCTTAGAGTCGGCTGGTCCTTCTCTGCCACGTCCTTTTCCGCCTCGCTGAAACAATTGAGGAGTATGTTTGGCGTCATTATTGACAATAACTTACGGAGTTAAATGGTCGACTGGTGGAACATTGGGTGCACTTTCCTGTACCAGAGGTCCCGACGGCTGTGAAGATCCGGCATTTGAGCTGCAGTTCTAGTAAGGAGCAGCGCAGATTCCTACTAGTCAGGGAAGAAACACATACATCCCTGATGATAGCTCTGCCAAAGGTTCAACATTGATATTCTCCCTGTCTTGCTGTTAGACGGGTGACAAATTCCAGGAAGCTACAACTCACTCCTCGATGGGTCGTACGGCGCCGTTTTGCGGAGGAAGCTGCTCATCCGAGTCGTTGTGGGTGCGTTGATCCTCGGCGTCGTCGGTGGCTGATGCTTGTGACATGTGATATTGGATTCCAAGAACAGCTAGTGAAATTTGGAAGAGTCTCAGGTGAGCGGACAGAGCAGCTCGAGAGGTGGCACAGCAAGTCGTTTAGGCGGCTACGACTCCAACATGACGAACACGTGCTTGCTAGCGTTGGCGCCGAAAGTTTTCGTGAGAGCTCCCTGCAGTGAACGCTGAACGCTCACATAAGACGAGTCCAATGCGTGTGTGGAAGGATACTGGAAATAACGAACGACTGCTCGTGATGATGATCCTGGCAGTGTCGGTCCACTGTCGGATATGGTCTAATGGTTAGTAACATTACCGCCTCTCAAGATCTCAAGCGAACTCGTGGTAGCTCGGGGTTCGATTCCCCGTATCCGAAATGCTGATTGATATTTTTAGGAGAGGATTCCATCAAAAAGCTTCATCATATGCGCATAGGGTCAAATTTAAATTCAAAGGCATGACGAAGCCTGAAGGCAAGTTAGGCAGCAACGGTACGATCACATGATCCATCAGAAATCCAATGGTGAAATTGTATTGATATATAAATGATTATAGTATGTAAAATCTCTACAATAAGTGTAATAATGATAAGTCACTTTATTAAGTCTTATATGGTAGGATAGACATGGCAGGACGCACCAAATATGCAAGGCTGAGATTTCGTTCATCAAGGTTATATCAAATATATATACTGTAGAGATACGACACTAACTGCGTCACGCGTCACAAGCCCCCATGAATTGAAGCTATTCGACGTGACCGTCACACTGATTTTTCATCACTGAAGCTAAATTGTGACATGCAGTAAATTCGATAAAAAAACATATAGAGCGCATTAATGAGACCAAAAGTCGGTGTACATCCTATTTGTGATCTGTCTGCGCTTTCCGCGCCCACAATCTACCTTTGGCATCAGTTTCAAGTTGTGGCATGACTGGGAGTGATATTACTAGTGCCACAGCTCGGCTACGGTCGGCTCCGGTTCGGTATTTACTGGTAAGCCAGAGGTTTGGCGATCCACGTGAGCCAAGCCACTGAGTACGGACTCGGTTTGACTTGTAAGCCATGTGAACCAGTTACAGCAATCACAAGCCGAAAATATTTGAACCGTGGTTTGAACCGCTTCAAGCCGGCTTAAGCCAGTTCAAGCTGAAATACCCATGTGGCATGTGGAAGGCAAATTGTTGCTTTGTATGATACGCGATGAATACTAAGGTCCCCGTTCGAGTTGATGGAAGATTTAGGTTGGGAGACATTTTGGGATCTGGTTCATATGGTATGTCATTCATATATTACCGACTACACAATGATTCAACAATTTGACCCCACTAATTAGCTGTTGTGTATCGTGCATGGAACATCATCAAGGAGGATGCAGTTGCCATCAAGCTTGAACCCATCAGCCACTCATCTTCCGTGCAACGCGAATACAAAGTTTTGAAACACCTTGAAGGTGGTGTTGGTATTCCCCGCATCCATTGGTTTGGTAGGGAGTCGACATATCATGCTCTGGTTCTCGACCTCCTTGGGCCATCACTACATGACCTATTCCTTACCCACAACAACAAATTCAGCCTTGAAACTGTTGTGAATCTGGGAGACCAGCTGGTCAGTTGATGTGTGGGTTGTTACATGTGCAGATCACTAACTCTGTTTCCCAGCTTTCACGCCTCGAATATATTCACTCACATCGTTATGTTCACGGTGATATAAAACCGCAGAATGTCGTTGTGGGGCTTGGTGATTTGAGTGACACCATCTTTCTTATTGATTTTGGGATCGCAAAGGAGTTCTGGAACACGTCAAACAATGTCCACATTCCATTTCGCCAAGGTCAACGTCTCGCTGGCACTCCTGCATTTGCTTCGGTCAACAATCACTTGGGAGTTGAACTGGGTCGTCGTGACGACCTCGAGTCACTTACATACATGTTAATATACTTCTTGCAGGGTTCCCTTCCGTGGTTAACCAGTGACAAAGACAAACTTTGCAGCTCTTCAATACTCGAACGTAAAGTCAACACTACCATTGAAGATCTATGTCAGGGAATTCCTGTCGAGTTCGCAACGATTCTCATTTACACACGCTCTCTTGCATTCTCAGAGGATCCCGATTATAACCATCTTCATTCATTGCTTCACGTACTTCATTCATCATCTGCACCAGCTGCGTGCTCGCTGGATTTCAACCAGCCTGATGCACCTATCACACATTCCCCTCCATTCTCACATTCTCCCTGGTTAATTGAGGCAGTGCCTCCATGTCCGCCACTTCGCAGATCGACTCGGATGTGAGTAGTCCACTCACGATGTTCCTACTTTTGAACTGATGTGATTGCAAGTTTGCGCCCGCATAATGGCCCCCCCCTGCATGCAGCTACTTCTACTCCGCACCGGAAAAAGACTAGGGTCGCCTAGATCTGACTTTACATGAGTACAAGGACTCCTGGTTACTACATTGAAGCCATTGAATGCTGAATACCTGTACAGACTCGTACAGTATTACCTATTATTTGTAAAAACATTGTATCTGCGCAGCTGCCTGCCTGTTGCCAACTTGCCATTATGTAATGATCGAGAATTGAGATTTCTTCCTCTTTTCTCACGCTAACACAATCAACATGCTGTCTGCCTCGAGTGAATCATCACAACTTCCGCAATACAATATAACGATTCGACAACTTCTTATTGATGGAGACTACCCCCATTGGCTTTGCCATCGTCCAAGATCGAGTGCAGGTGCATTTGATTGATCAGTTACCCGGTGAGTCTGTGCCAAATGAGACTCAACTTGCTTGCGTCTTGATTAATGACAATCGCCCTTTGGACTTTTCCATCAGGGACTCAGTATTACTGCATGGCCCTTGGGACTTTACATCAGGGACTCAGTATTGCTGCTCCTCAGCACGTTCTGGGGTTTCCCCAGACGAAGATGTATATAAACAGACATACAGTTCTGTTACTGAACTATCTTGACCACTAACACCACCGTTACCACCACCACATGCCTCCTCGAAAAAAGAAAACTTCCCAGCTTGCTTCCAAAACCACCGCTACCGGTACTCCTGTTGTACCCATTCCTGTTGTCCACGCTCCTGTTGTCCCCGCTCCTGTTGTCTCCGCTCCTGTTGTCCCCGCTCCTGTTGCTGCTCTCACCGCTGCTGCTCCCACTGCTGCTGCAGTGAACGCAAATATCCTTCGAAATCCTCGTAGGGATCGTCAGCTTCCTATCAGGTTCCGACAAGATGATGGCGATGAAGGCGAATTCTTTGACCTTGAGAATGTCCTTGAGGATGAGGACGATGATGTGGTCTCACCTGCACCCGAAGTTAGGCCTGCTGCAGGCCATAGCCCGTTTCAGACAGCAATGAGTACCACTTTAACTGATCCACTGGCTACTGGTGGCCGAGCAAAACCACCCAAATCCTCCGCTGATGTTCATTTCTTCTTTAGACAGGACCATACCACTCATTCTAATATTTGCAAGGCCTGCAAGTGAGTATTGCGTCTGTAATCTATGGTCCTTTCTGACATTCTTCACCAGAAAAATCCATGACCTAGACGATACTTACCATGTTGCATCATACGTTCACAATACAAGCACTTCGACTCATCGCACCCATGCCTTCACTGAACATACGGACATTTACTTGGAGGAGGCAGAGCGCCAGCGCTGGCATGTCCTCCATAAATCGTCACGACTGAAGACTTTTTTGGATGAGGGCTGGACAATTGCGACCATGTGTCAAAGGCTGAGGGATCCAGATTGCACGTTAGACTCACTCGGTACTCCACCTAGTCCTGATTTACTTCCTGGAACCAGCCTGTCGGCTCCAGATGACGCATTGCCTGCATTTACTCTGGATGAGATGCACAAACAAATTGTGAAATTCATTATTGGTGATGACCAGGTGAGTCAATGTGCGCTTTCTACACTATGGTTAATAACACTGGGGGCAGGAACCAATTTGCCCAGGGGTCAAATGTTGAACCTAGCGTGATCTCAGACAGATTCAGGTCACCTTTGGTTTTGGCAGATAATGTTAACAAAAATTAAATTTTTTTCTTACTTTATCTCAATTTGAGTCATCCTGTCATATATACATTATAATCATCTTGTCTACACATTTTTATCAGACATAACAATTATCCTGGCATATGTTTTTGTTGTCATTTTGGCATAGGATCACATAATGATCACATTTTCAACAAGTCTCAAACTTATGTTTTGAGTAAATTTTGACTGAGGTTAATTCTTTTTTATTCTTTTTTCATTGGAATCAAGCTAGGAAATTTTTGTCTATGAATGCAAGCAATATATTACTTTGATTCTGATCACATTTTGGAGTTTTTTTTAATTTATAACACCCTATGTTCTACTTATTTCTACACTTTTGTTCCTCTGATATATAATAGAAAATACAAAGTCAATTGATGGAAAAAAGTTTGACCAAATGTTAAGATAATATATCCTTTGCTCTGTAAACAAAATCAATAACAAAATAAAATCTGACTTTTTTTTGTTAACAAATCAAATTTTGACCAAAGTCGACATCAACAGTCAGTAGTCAACAGTTCACAGGTTGATCAATTATCATATGTTTACCTGATTAACGGTCGACTGCTGACTAGTAGTATTGACTTTGGTCAAAAGTTGATTTGCACACAAAAAAAAATCAGATTTTACTTTGTTGCCAATTTTGTTTACAGAGCAAAGGATATATTATTTTAACATCTGATCAAACTTTTGCGCATCAATCAACTTTGTTTTCTACATACTGAACCCACTATGCGCTAACTAAAAACCCACTGACTCTGATAGTCTCATACTCAACCTGTACCCATACCCTATGCTGTGTGTTTGCAGAGATGAAAGAAGAGCAGGATTGTGTGAATATTGTGTTTCCTCACTTGCATCAGGAAAAACCTCCCACAGGAATTTTGAGAATGTGACAATATTTCCAGGAATTGCGGCAAGCTTTTGTCAAATTTTCAAAAAATTTGTGAAGTTGTCTACAAGCTAGTAAATAGTCACATATGGATGCATAACAGCCAGTAGATGTGCCAAAAAATATATGTATCTACAGGGCTCTCTTCTAGTTGAACCTGCCATGAGATATGTAGCCAGTTTATAGTGTATCAAAAATGTAGAGTTCACGCAATCCAGAACCACAGAGAACACGTACATATGCTTGCATTTCCCAAGGGTGCAGGCAGGACCTGACAGGTACTACAGAGCAGATACTGGTGAGAACATGGACAAAGGCAAGGACTTGAAATTCAAAGCTAGCAGGCAAGAATTGGGATATTGATGGGGGCTGGCATGTTTAAACAGGTAGGAGTCCGAGGGAGAATTCGGACATGTCTGCTGTAGGCC